TAAAGTTCATTTATACCTTAATATTTTATTAAGAATTTGTTGTGCTGCCTGTAACTGTACATTATTGCATTGCCCTAGGATTTTGTAGTTAGGCGAGAAATCCTACAGACTGGGAAAGAGCTGGAACATGTGACCACGAAAAAAGGTACTTCGATATTTTTTTTTGTTTTTTTTTTGTTCAAACAATTTTATTAACAATTAAAATCAGAGTGGGACAAACAAAGAGACATTGCTAATGTACACTGGACATTGAAATGGCAATAAAACATGAAAAAAAAACCCAATATGAATGAGGGTCATAGTACAGTTGTCTATGCATTACTAGCGGAACAGGTAGGTAGGTTGACAACAAAAGACATTATTGTTCCAGCCAATCAAAATGATGTCTCCCAAATGCATTAAAGAAATAGGGGGAAGTTTGAAGGGGGGTCAGACAGGGGTGGGAGGGGGGGGGGGGGGGAAGAGGAACAGCAACAATGACTCCATGAGCGTTCGGCAAGTGTACAATAACTCCTACGTATTGTGTACAAAGGGCCAATGACAATATCTTTAGCGCATAGTACACAAATCAGGGGAGAAGCAGTGATTCGTCAAAATTAGGCGGGAGGAAGCGCTCTACCCAGGGGCTCCATATGCGCAAGAATTTAGGAATCGTGTCGAGAATTGTGGCTTCCACCTTTGCATGTATCATGGCTTGCGTTATTCTGGTTTTGACGGCCGCAACACTTAGGGTGGGGGATTTCCAGGATTTCGCTATAACCTGTTTAGCCGCTGTCATAACTTGCATGATGAGCTTAAATTGTGAATTGGAGATGCCAGGGGGGCAATGGTTGAGTAGGGCGGTCGTTGTGTCGGATGTTTTTTTTTTTTATTAAAATATTTACAGAGCCATCATCCACATACAGAAAGAGAAGGGATAATGTAAATTAAACAGTGTGTGTTTAGCAGGGGTGGACTGACAACTCATGGGGCCCCCGGGCAATAGGGGATCATGGGGCCCCTGTGTCCTTGCCCAAACTCAAAAAAGCTTTTGAAAAAGGTACCAGGGGCATCTCATGGGGCCCCCTACTGACCCCGGGCCCTCGGACAGTGCCCGAGTTTCCAAATGGTCAGTCTGCCCCTGGTGTTTAGTATCACTTTAAGTATTCCTTTTATCATTAACTTTTATGGTAGTTGGGGAGTAAAGCGTCAAGGTTGAAGATATTTTTATTTAAGCAACTAAAAAACAGAATTTTTTTTTAGTTTGTTTATCTAGCTGTGCAAACATGATTAATTGATTTATAATAACTGAACCTAAATTTGCAATGTCTGGTGTGTTATATGTTGCTAGAGTATGTGTATAGGTCTACTTGTTTTAATGGTTAACTCAATAATTACCAGTTGCTGCAAGTAACTCTGGTTTTAACAACTACCTGATAAGAAGAAGAGAGTAGTATCTTAATGATATCTGTAGAGAAAGAATGTTGTTATATCCATGGAAAAATAAGATGGCAAATTCAAGAAAGAAGTAGGTAATAACTCACAGAGGGCAGTTATTATTACTCTTCCAGATTGCTAGCAAGCCACCACTGGGAAGCAAATCAGAAGATGCCTTCAGCAACTCTGGAGTGTGATTAGTCTCTGCAGCAATTGGCTAATTGGAGTCCTCACTTTTTGTTCTCAAAGGATCACTTTTTTCCTTTATTACTGAAGCGGAATTGCAAAGCTATGATGTGTCTGTTGGGATGAGCTGGCACATCCTGAATAGACCAAGCAGATTTTTTAAAGTCAGATCCAAACAGTGACAAATTGATTCTGTCAAAGTATTTTCCAAGTCTGGTGTGTAAGCCAAACATAAATCTGAGCCAAAACAAGAGTTCTGGTCTCCTATAATTACCGCTGTGCTGGGAATACATTTTGTTTGAGCAGAACACCTGTAAGATGGTATCTTAAAGAAACAGTTCATTTACAAAGCAGGAAAAACCAATACTGAAGTCTACATTTGATTTCTCAAGGCACTTAGGTGTTTAGTAGGATTATAAATAAAAGCCTAATCACAGTGTTAATGGAAATAAACAGACGTTGAAGAATATGGACATGGATACCCAATTACAAACACTATGGGAACTACAAAATAAATACATGCATACATACAAATACACAAAATACCAAATATACATTAAGATGGAATAAATGTATATTATATATCTAAGACTACCAAAGCTCCCATTAATGCCAGAAAGAGTAAAAATGGTGGTATGTTTGTTTACGTCATTAGCCTTTTGGTGGCAAGATATGAGAAAATACTAGTCTTTTAAAACAATCCCCTAACCTCTAATCTAATTGATAATCTTGTTCATTAATTTAACACTTAAGATATTTATTTCCAACAACAAAAAAAATTATATATTGCAGCTTATCGATCCTTAGAGGTAGTGGCTACATAAGTTGTCTTTCAGGCATTTTTAGCAAGTACAGAAAATAACTGTTGATTTTGCCAGAAATTCAGTATCCTTGTCAATTTCTGCAAACTAAACTGAAAGCAGAAGCAATCATCTACCTTCTGTAAACTACTGATCACACCATCCTTCATGTATTTGAGATGAAGAGATGAAGACAGGTTTGAGGTCCATCCCAGGTGACAGCCAGGGCTCCCAATACAGAGGAGTAAATGTAACCACTCAGGGGAAGGGAATGTGCAGGATCACCAGGTAAAGAAAAAGTGGAAAAACAATGAAAAACTGGTAAGCTGCTAAGCATTCATTTTTTGGTTTTGGGATTAGCTGCGCTTTAACAAAAGACCTTAACCACACTCTAATACTTAATGTTCTATTTATAAATGTTTTTACCCAAGATGTACACAACTTTCACACATGCATCCCACATTTTTCCAACTGTATCCAATCAGAAAAATGTGTGAATCTTGTGTGAAATAGACCCTTAAAGCTGAATCTTGAAAATTATCTAAACTCTAATCATCATCATTATTTGGGAAAATAGACAAAGTATAGTTACATGTGCCACTTAAACAGTATTTTATTGGAGAAACATTGCATTAATGGACACATTTATAAAGCAGTTAAGCTGGCAATCATTACAGGTGAATCTTCCTGATGCATATATTTTACATGATAGGGATTGATTCACCATCAGCAAATGTTTGGTAAAAGTCAACATTTATTTCTTTGTAAATTGCCCCTAATTGAGGTTCTCTGGTGTGTAAGTATACTTTGTCCCAGTTAATGGTTTACTAAAACTATTTTCTTTAAAATATGTAAAGTACAATCTCTGTCCAATAACTCATGCCAACCTAGCAGAACACATCTTTATAAGGTCATCTTAGTAAACTAGCACCCTAATGCAATAGCTGTCTGCATATAGATTTTACTTTTTCCATAGCGCACTGTGAGGTCACAAGCCTAGGGAAGTTGTTTGTACAAATACCACTTTAATCCAGGAATTGGACATTTTGATTTGTCTCTCTTACCTACTGTATTTTGCTGTTGCTCAGTAAATACACACATTACAGTGATGAGCAAACAGGAAGGCACCAGGGACCAGAGGGAAAGAGGAAAGCAACCATTTCCTAAAGTCGGAATTTTCACCAAAAAGTGCAGTATGTTTTTTAAGCCCTGGTTCACATATGTGCATTCCTGTGGGCTGCGTTTTGCGCGGGCACGAGAGCCCATTCATTTGAATAGACCCCCATGCCCCAGGACACGCAGGGACGAAGTCCCTGCACTTCTTTGGAAACCGCAGCCCGCACGGGAACGTCGGGTTTCCTAGTGCGGTTGTGATTTCCAGTGCGGGTAGCGTGCCATTAGAATTCTTCAGTGTGGGTGCACGGATTTTTGTGCGGATCCGCAGTGGCACCACCCGCACATACGTGAACCTAGCCTAAGAATGCTTTTAAAAAAAGAGTGAATCTATGTACAGGACCATGAAAAGGACTGTTATTGCAATTTTATAGAGATAAGTCTGATAACAGGTAGACTTTAACCCCTTGATGCCGACCGCATGCAAATATGCGGCCTCTCGGCATCTTGGCCTTAACGCCGAGTGGTCGCATATTTGCGTCCAATTAGAAAATACATATGTCCCAGCATATTTGTCCGCGACTCCCGGAAAGGTCCCGATCTCCCCTTTCGATCGGGACCTTTTCCAATCATGTGATGGCGAATCATGGCGGCCACATGACCCTAAAACCTTGCCCCGCCTCCTGAAACTCTTAAAGGGCCAGGAGGTGTCGGCGCAAAGAGGTTAAAGTACAAGGCCAGTCAAATACTATCTAAGCTTAAACCTGCTCCCACCCCCATTTTAAGCCCTACACTAACTACCCTAAAGGAAAAGTGTCTACACTTTCCTATTCGGAGAGCGCTATGTCAGGTCACATGATCTCTCCAAAGGCTGGCTTCAGTGAAGAGGAGACATATGTGATGACACACTTATAAGTATAGGCATCTTTCCTTTATAAGGTAGTTAGAATAGGGCTTAGAATGGAGGTGGGGGTAGGTTTAAGCTTAGATAGTATTTGACTGGACTTCTACTTTAACCCCTTGCCTACAGGGCACTTATACCCCCTTCCTGCCCAGGCCAATTTCCAGCTTTCAGCGCTGTTGCACTTTGAATGACAATTGCGTGGTCATGCAACACTGTACCCGTATGAAATTTTTATCATTTTTTTGTGACAGATAGAGCTTTATTTTAGTGGTACTTAATCACCTCTGGATTTTTTATTTTTTCTTAAACAAACCAAAAACCACTGAAAATTTTGAAAAAAAAACATTTCTTTTTAGTTTTTGTTATAACATTTTGTAAATATGTGATTTTTCTCCTTCGCTGATGTGCGCTAATGAGGTTGCAGTGATGAGCACTGATAGGCTGCACTGATGGACACTGATAGGTGGCACTGATGAGGAGACACTGATGGGCATTGACAGGCATCACTGATGGGCACTGAAAGGCAGCACTCATATATGGCACTCATATATGGCACTGATAGGCAGTACTGATAGTTGGCACTGATAGGCGGCACTGACTGGCACTGATAGGCGGCACTGACACACTGTTAGGTGGCACTGACTGGCACTGTCAGGCGGCACTAATAGGCAGCACTGACGGGCACTGATAGGTGGCACTGATGCACACTGATATGTGCCACTGACTGGCACTGATTGGCAGCACTGATAGGCGGCACTGATAGGTGGCACTGACTGGCACTGATGGGTGACATTGAAAGGCAGCTCAGATGGGCACTGATATGTGGCATTAATGTGCACTGGTAGGCACTGAAATGTGGCATTGATGTGGCACTGATGGGCACTGGCAGGTGGCATGGATGAGCACTGACAGCTGGCACTGATGGACATTGACAGGTGGCACTGCTGGGGCTACACAGATCATCAGGGCACACTGATCATCAGTGCCCTGATGATCAGTGTAGGTGTCCCCTCTGAGGGATGCAGATTACCGGTTCTCCTTTCGAGCTGTCAGCGTGACAGCTCGTAAGTAGAGGAATGCCGATAACCGGCATTTCCTTATTTACATGCGATCAGCTGTGATTGGACACAGCTGATCACATGACAGAGCCGACATCTTCGGCTCTTTCCAATGAGCAGTTAGAACGGGAGGACATCATATGACGTCCTCCCAGAATGAGAGAACCGCCTTGCGTGCTTTATTGTACTATATGGCGGGCGGGAGGAGGTTAAAGCTGAATTCCAAGTATGAAAAATTTTACATAATTACATTGGTCTAGCTTGGACCAATGTAACTATGCATTTACCAAACCTATAGGATCCTTGTGGAAGCTGGAAATCACTGTATTTGGCACATCTACTACAGTGATCTTCATTAGCTTCCAGGTCCCGTGCCTACTAAAGTTATACACTGCTCAAAAAAATTAAAGGAAAATTTTTTAATCAGGAGTATAGCATCAAGTCAATTAAACTCCTGCGATATTGATCTGGCTAGTTAAGTAGCAGAGGGGGTTGTTAAGCAGTTTCAGCTGCTTTGGTGTTAATGAAATTAACAACAGGTATACTAGATGGGCAACAATGAGATGACCCCAAAAAGGAGGCCACTGACACGATTTTCCCAACTCATCTTTTCTGACTGTTTTTCACTAGTTTTGCATTTGGCTAGGGTCAGTGCCACTACCAGTAGCGTGAGGCAATACCTGGACCCTACAGAGATTGCACAGACAGTCCAACTCCTCCTGGATGACACATCAATACATGCCATTGTCAGAAGGTTTGCTGTGTCTCCCAGCACAGTCTCAAGAGCATGGAGGAGATTCCAGGAGACAGGCAGTTACTCTAGGAGAGCTGGACAGGGCCTTAACCCGTCAGCAGGACCGGTATCTGCTCCTTTGTGCAAGGAGGAACAGGATGAGCACTGCCAGAGCCCTACAAAATGACTTCCAGCAGGCTACTGGTGTGAATGTCTCTGACCAAACATTCAGAAACAGACTTCATGAGGGTTTCCTGAGGGCCCGATGTCCTCTAGTGGGCCCTGTGCTCACTGCTTTTCACCATAGAGCTCGATTGGCATTTGCCATTGAACACCAGAATTGGCAGGTCTGCCACTGGCGCCATGTGCTTTCCACAGATGAGAGCAGATTCACCCTGAGCACATGTGACAGACGTGAAAGGGTGTGGAGAAGACATGGAGAACATTATGCTGCCTGTAACATTGTTCAGCATGACAGCTTTGGTGGTTGGTCAGTGATGGCCTGGGGAGGCATATCCATGGAGGGATGCACAGACCTCTACAGGCTAGACAATGGCACCCTTACTGCCATTAGGTATCGGGATTAAATGCTTGGACCCATTTTGTCAGACCCTACGCTGGTGCAGTGGGTCCTGGGTTCCTCCTGGTGCATAACAATGTCGGCCTCATGTGGCGAGAGAATGTCCAGGAGCTCAGTGATGCCTTGGTCCAGATCTGGGAGGAAATATCGCAGGACACCATCCATTGTCTCATTAGGAGCCTCCCCCGACGTTGTCAGGCATGTATACAAGAATGCGGGTGCCATACAAAATACTGAGCACCATTTTGAGTTGCTACAATGAAATTTCAGCAAAATGGACTAGCCTGCTGCATCAGTTTTTCACTTTGATTTTTGGGGTGTCTTTGAATTCAGTCCTCTGTAGGTTGATAATTTTTTTTTCCATCAAACGATAGGGCATCCTTACGTTCCTAACATATTACCCTGTACATATCAGTATAGATAGCATGATATTTTTCCCCATTGAGATCTGATGTGTTTTCAGAGTGTTCCTTTAATTTTTTTGAGCACTGTATCTTGAATTCACGTGGATCCCACAGGTATGGTATTTGCATAGTTACAATGGTAACCATGTAAAATATCCATACCTGTAGTTCATCTAGAAGTACATTGAACTTTGATTCATTTAGGTCAACACACGCCCCAGACAAACGTAAAACTCTGCACTTTTTTTAAACACATTCCACAGCACTAAATTAATGGCACCAGAATGCACTGCACAAGGTTCTGTTCAATAACACATAGCGCCCTTAGATGTTGCCACTGGAACTTTGATATGTTATAAAATTTCTTCAATAGTTTAATAGAATTTACTTCTACTCTATGGATACCTACATGACATAGCCACATGCACAAGTATATTTAGTAAAGCGTATTACAAACTTTGCATGAAGTCCTATGCTTTGGCCATCTAAAGATTTTGTAAAAATCAAATTTCAGAAGAAACTGAGAAGATAGAACACTTAGATAATTGACATACATCGAGTAGAGTACCTGTGCACAAATATATGTTTGGAGAAGACCAAGGCTCCTTTCCATTTTTGCATTCATCAACACTTTTATTGCTTTTCATTCATCTGAAAAGGCTGCATGCGGATGATTGCTAAACGTGTTACTGAAAAGATAATTTCATACAACGAGTGGCAACAAACAGCAATAATTTATGGCATTATGGATGTAAATATTTTACTTACTTTTAAATTATTTATTCCTATAATTTACAGTTGCTTCTCAGCATAAATGTCTGCAAGTATAATAATATATCAGGCAGGCGTACTGTACAACACAACAAGAGGAATAATTTCTGTGAATTGCTAAATATAATTTTTGCATTTATATTTGAATAGTGCAAGCTATAAACAAATCAGGACAGATTTATGAAAGCTTCAGCAAACATAACTGAAGCTGCTATGTAAACCAATCAGAATTACTGCTTTGTTTTTGAAGGACTATTAGAGAATGGAAGCTTAATCCTAGTTGGTAGCTATGGACAGCAAATAAAATTTTCCTTAGACTAAGATTTCATTAGTCACCCTGAGAGGTAAACATTATACATGCAGATGATTTGCATAGGTGACATTAGATAGTCTGAGAACCATTTATTTTCTACAAACCTCAGTAAATACAAAACATAGTGTTTTTGGCTGGATTGGTGACAATCTTATGTCTATGGCAACTGGTTTAAAAGCCTCATCCAATCACTAGTGCTTTTTTTCCAAGATAGCACTACAAACAGCCTTCTCACTCTACCTTTTTCAGCTAAACATAGTCTCCAAGTGCAGACATTTAGAAGACTACTGGTTAACAGGCAAGCACTAGGCAGTCAAATCATGGTTTCACAAATGTTGCCCTTGCAGGTCCACAGCCACCTTAAAGCCTAAGTTCACCTTGTCCAGAAAACAGCCATGCAATGGAAAAAACTATGCAGCTTTGTAAATGTTCATTAATTTTATTATCATATCAGTAGAACATATGCCCCCATCCCCCCTACACTCATGAAAAACTCCCAGTTAGCAGTACCCATGACATTCTTTGTTGCTAGATGTGAAAACCATTGGATATTCACACTAACATTATTGGAGTGAAAACCAACATTTTTCAACAAGCAACAAGACTAGGATATGCATGGAGAGCTCCATGGAAGGCACTGGTGATATAGCCTTCCCAAGAGGCAGCCAGGAGACACTGACTACTTCACCAGTGCCTGAAGATATGCAGAAGGGGATGTAGGATTTAGGAGTAGGTAAGAAAATTTGTTGAAAAAAACATGTTTATGAATATGTGCAGGGAGTTCTATTAAAATGTTTTGAAATTGGGTCCATTTTAACTTAAAAAACGTATATCTGATGCTCGGGCAGGCATTTGAGTTGGCAATCTGTACAAATGCCCATGGCCTCAACATTCAAAAGGACCCCAGGAGCTTCCCCTTACCTGCCCACAGTCTCCCCGTACACCTGTGGAGCTGCACCATTTTATCACACAGCATAGCACAGGATAATAGTTTGAATGACTTCTCAGTGTAAAGCACCATGAAAACTGTGCTAATTAAATTAAATCCATAAATGTTTTATCAATAACAATTATGAAAACGCAAATATGTTTCCACATATGTTTTTTCTCACTTTTTACCAATTAAATATTTACCTTCCTATATGTCCTTTTATTAATAGCTCCGGTCCCCAAACTATGGCCTGGTGATAGATGAAGACAGGCCATTGTAATGAGAAGGACTTGGATGCAGAACTTTCATACTGAAAGTCCAATAGAGGGAGCTGCTGTATACAGAGTGGCAGTGTGTGCTAGGCACCCAACACCCAGCAACAGAGTGATCTTGATGGTGCCTGCATAGTCCTGGCTATGATGAAGAGTGGGGTAGGACATGGAGCCTACAAGGTAAGTGATCACTGAACACCAATACTGGGGCACCATTTCCCACTGACACAGGAGTACCATTCCTTCCACTGACAAAAGGAGCATTATTTCTCCCACTGACAACTGCCACAGGGACACCATTCCTTCCACTAACCATTGACACAGGGGAAGTATTCTGACCACTAACACAAGGGCAGCATTCTGACCACTGACACGGGCACCATTTTGACTATTGATATGGGCACCATTCCTCCCACTGACACAGGAGCATCATTCTGACCACTAGCATACATTACACCCACTGACCAATGACATAAGGGAATTTTTTGCTTTCATTGACATTAGAGATTTATTACTCTTAATAATGTAAGAATATATTTTCCTGCCACTGACGCAAGGGCATTTGTTACTCCCATTAAAGACTCACTCCGGAACATGGTTTACTCCATGTGACCACTTATACAGAAGCATTTGTTATTCCTACTGACCACCAAGTAGAACATTTTTTACTCCCAATGACATACAGGCATTACCTACTTTCACAGACCACAGGTGTAAAGGCATGTTTTTTATGCTGGGACATAGTTTACTCTCACTGAACCCTGAGGCAGGAGTGTTCATTACTCCCACTTACCACTGATGAAGGAGCATACATCACTCCCACTTAATGTTAATATAAAGGCATTTTTTACTCCCACAAAACACCTATATAGGGGCATT